AAACCCTTCCCACCCAGTCAGCCAGCCAGCCAAACTCCTCCACCGGCTGCCCAGACTGGCAGCCTCAACCCCCCCCTCCCGCCTCCACTTCAGGCCCCCAGCGTTGCGCGCACTGGCTTGGAAGCGCCCATTTCTTCTCCGCGAGCCACTGAGCCGAGAGAGACGCGCAGAGATCCGGGCCGGATAAAAGAACAGGCTGGGGCTGCGAGGCGGACAGCCAGGCCCGGATTCGGCGGTTCCATTGGAGGCAACCCCCGCCCCCAGCGCCCAGCCCGAGGCGGTTGGGGGGTGGGTGGAGAGAGCAGCGTGGAGGAAAACATATTTGCCCCCCCCCCGGGGGAGGGAAGGAGGACCCGAAGCCAAGGCCCCAGACTGGGTTCTAGGCCGCCTGTTAAGACCTCGAGAGCGTGTACCTCTGCACATGTGCAAAGTGTTCCTTCCGAAGCCCGCCTTTAGAGCTAGGAAAGAGGGACTTCCCTTTCCAGGTCAAAGGGCAAGGTGGAAAGGGAGGCGAGGAGCGCCTTGGCCATCGCTGTGGAAGCGGGGAGGACACGGCCCCCTGGCTCCAACGGGATCGGTAACCGGCAAGCCCGGAAGGTCACAAACCATCTCCGGGGACAGGGGCGGCGGCAGAGAACCCAGGCAGAGCCCAGCGCCAGAGGGGGGAGCCGCGGGGACTTGCCAGGAAGTTGCGAGGGGGGGGGGGGGGGGGGTCTCTCTCGGAGGCAGCCGGTCCTGCCAGATCGGGATCTGGGTCTCTGTATTTTCGGGGGGAGGGGAGGGAGAATGGGGGCGGGGGCAATCCGGAGGGGGCGGAGGTTTCAGGCCAGGAGGCCGCCTGCAAATGAGACGCCCGTTCCCCCTTGACGCAGGGCGCGCTTGGCTGCGGCTCCCAGATTAATTGATACTTAATGGAAATCATGCCCATGAATAGTCTTTCCATCATTTCGCCCTGGGTGGACGTCATTAACCAAGCGAGGGCCGCGTGGGGGGGGGGGTGGGGGGTGGATAATAATAATATTGGCTTGGTAGGTGGGTGCCGCCTCGCCTCGCTCGAGGTCGGGAGCTGCAACCAGGAACTGGGGAGGGAAGGGAGAGGCTCTCCGCAGGAGCGCCCAGTACTTTAGCCGGGGCCCGGAGGGCTGTACCTGACGCGCCGCTGCTCGGCTGGAAAGCGCTTCCTTCCTCGCCAGAGACGCCGAAGGCCGGGCTTTTCTTCGCTGGAGGGGGGACGGGACATGGCGGCGTGCAAAGGACTCGGGGTCGGGTCGGGCCTCACAGGGATCCAAGCGAGTACCCCCCCCCCTTTCATTGTTAGAAATGGAGAGGCTGATCAGCCTTCGCGGGAGCAGGCTGTCTCGTCCGGACCTGTTCCGGGATGCAATAACTAGTGGGCCTACCCAGGGAGGGAGAGGACTTAGTAACATATTTCAGGGGAGCGATTCTGATATCCAAGTGCAAGGGAAATAATCAGAATTCGATCTCCACAAACAAATACCACCGCCTTTCTGAGCATATGTAGGACAATTTGGCGAAAATATGGTGGCATGAATTCTAACTTCTTTCTTTCTTTCTTTCTTTCTTTCTTTCTTTCTTTCTTTCTCTCTCTCTCTCTCTCTTTCTCTCTCTCTTTCTCTCTCTCTTTCTCTCTCTCTTTCTCTCTCTCTTTCTCTCTCTCTTTCTCTCTCTCTCTCTCTCTCTCTCTCTCTCTCTCTCTCTCTCTCTCTCTCTCTCTCCCTGCTGTGTGCGCTTTTATATGTGCTGTGC